AATATGTTTATTAAGTAGTCTAAAATCAGTGATTTTCAAACTGTAAGGGAGGGGTATGTGTAATAATTTTACATTGGAAAACTAAAAAAAAAAAAAAAAAAGCAAAACAAACCTTAACAGTTGAGAAACTCTGGTCTCAAAAATAAACCTTATATATATAAAAATCAAGAAAAAGAAATATTTAATTAATATATAATCAACACAACAGGAAGAAAAAAAAGGAAAGGGAATATTTGGGAAGGGAAAGGGAAGTACATCACCTCATCGAAGTCTCCTCTCACAATATGAACATCACCAGCCAGAGTCTTGAGATAGTCATAACTCTCTTTGGTACAAAGGTTTCCAGTGCAGAGAATGTGCTGAATCTTTCCTGGCACCAGCAGTTTTTTGAATTTAGCTGGCAAACTGTTGCACCGGTGTGGGATGTGCAGGTCTCCTAATACCAACACCAACTTTAAAGTGTCAAGGTGAGAAAAGGTGTAATGTTAAACATGATTTCAAAACAAGATATTCTCCTCCCATGAGTCCTCTTTTAAATTAAACTAATCAGAGATTCCAAAACCCAAAAGAGCAGAAGTTATTCACACAGTTCCTATCATGACCACTTAAACACACATATGATTCTAAATCAATCTTAGTTTATTTTGGTCATAAATAGGTGTGCACACAATACAGGTAATCATTCTATTTATCAAGAATAAAATCAAGCTTTCTAAAGCGATTCATTCAGAGACCTATAAATTACACTCACAAAAATTGAAAAATATACTACCAGGCCCTATGGAATTTGATATGGTAATTCATATTTCTGCAGTTTTAATGTAAAACATCATATATTGATTCCAGGGATGTTAATAAAAAGAATGGTTAAAATTATAATGATAGAGGGAAAAAAAGTTAATTCTATAATTTACTAGACTGACAACTATATGGAGGAACAGTAGCCAAATTTACAATATTTGTTACTTAAAATATTAACTATACATTGCAGAGGAATAAAAACAGCCTATGTTGCAAAGAGTTTCAATAGGGCAAACATGTGCTTCTGAACTATAATTTTGTTATCTTCTCTTGCCTTCATCATTAGAAATCCTGACTGTCATATTTTTGTTTAGATCAAATTGTCTATGTATCCTCAGTTTAGTTCCCAAACTTAAAATAACATATCAATCTTTCATGTGCATTAGAGCATTAAAAAAAGAGAGAGATCAGCTAAATAAGTGATGAATTCAGCAG